CTTTCTACTCCCGTAAGGATTTACACCCTCGGAAACCCTGTACAGGGTCGCTATGGGTCGGAACCGACTCGACGGCACTTAACAACAAAAACATGCCTGGAATAATACATTGAATAGGAATGGTATCACATTCAATGTCAACAAGAACATTTAAAGATTTATCACAAAGAACACTATTGTCTGTGATAGGATCATATTCATACACCGTCAAGATCAGGTAATACCACTACTACTCAAATTTGCACACCAACCACTAAAGTCAATGATGATGAAATTGAAGGTCAGAGAAAAAGAGGAAGACCCCCAGCAAGATGGATTGGTAAAGTGGCAGCATAGATGGGCTCAAGCATGGCAACAATAGTGAGGTTGGCCCAGGATCAGGCAGTGTTTCATTCTGCTGTGCATAAGGTCGCTATGAGTTGGCACCGACTTGATGGCACCTATCAACAACAACAACCAACTTCTTCAGTCTGAAATTTATCAAACATGCAGTCAGGAGGCTTTGATAATTATTGTTAATTGGAATGTGAAAGTTGGAAACAAAGAAAAAGGAGCTGTAGTTGGAAAATATGACCTTGATGATAGAAATGATGCTGGAGATTGCATGATAGAATTTTGCAAGACCACTGACTTATTTATTGCAAATGCCTTTTGCAGCAATATTAAAGACAATTATATACCTGGATCTCACCAGATAGAAAACACAGGAAATCAAACTGACTACATCTGTGGGAAGAGACTGTGGAAAAGCTCGATATCATCAACCAAAACAAGGCCAGGAACAGACTGTGGAACAGACTGATCATCAATTGCTCATTTGTAAATTCAGGCTGAAAATGAAGAAAATTAAAACAACTCCACAAAAGCCAAAATATGACCTTGAGTATATCGTTGTTCTTAAGTGCCATCGAGTCAATTTTGACTCACAATGATCCTATACAGAGTTTCCAAGGAGCAACTGGTGGATTGGAACCACTGACCTTGTGGTTATCAGTCTGATATTTAACCTACAGTGCTAAACCAGGATTTTTGTATTTACAGACCATCTTAACAATAGATTTGGGGGAAAAAGAGAATAGATTTGATGCTTTAGACACTAGTAACTGAATACCAAAAGAGTTGTGGATGATATCAAGAACATCATACCAGAAGAGAGGAAAAGGACATTAAAATGACAAAAAGAAAGAAAGGGCAAAATTGCACATCAGAAGACACTATGAAACTTGCTCTTGAAGGTAGAGAAGCTAAAAAGAATGGAAGAAATGAGGTAGTAAAAGAGCTGTACAGAAAATTTCAACTCAATAAGACAAAGTGAAGTATTCTAATGAAAAGTGCAAAGACCTTGAGTTAGAAATCCAAAAGGGAAGAAAACTCTCAGCATTTCTCAAGTTAAAATAACTGAAGAGAAAAATCAAGCCTCAAGTTGCAATATTGAAAAATTCAATGGACAAAATATTGAATGAGTTGGAAACGTCAAAATAAAAGATAGAAGACATATACAGAGTCACTGTACACAAAAGGATTAATTAATGTTTAATCATTTCAAGTGGTATCATATGACCAAAACTTCATGGTATTGAAGGAAAAGCAACACTGAAGGCATTGGTGAAAAACAAGGCCCCAAAAAATCAATGGACTACAAATTGAAATGTTTCAACAAACTGTTAATAGCTCATTCATCTACGTCAAGAAATATGGAATATAGCTAGCTGGCCACCCAACTGGAAGAGATCCATATTTGTACCCATTCCAAAGAAAGGTGACCCAATGAAGTGCAGGAATCATCTAATAACATCATTGGTATCACATGCTGAAGACGATTCAAAAACAGTTTCAATACAGAGTTGCTAGAAATTCAAGCTGCTAGAAATTCAAGATTTAGAAGAGAACATGAAACAATAGATGGATTTTGGCTGAAAACAGAGAATACCATAAAGATGTTTATTTGTGCTTTATTGACTATGCAGACATTTTACTGTGTGGATCATAACAGACTTTGCATAACATTGTGAAAAATAGTTATTCCAGAACACTTAATTGTGCTCATGAGGAACCTTACATTAGACCAACAAGCAGTCATTAGA